TTCTAGACTGTAACCATCGACATGTCTCTCCTTGATCTGAACTCTGACTTGTCCATCAGAAACCAATGGGCTCGCCAGCACATCAACAGAGCCATTCGACAGGATTGGAACGCCCTTCTTGAACATAGCGATGATTCTTCCGAACTAGGTTCCCTTCCTTTTATTCCCAAGACCTCGGAGCTCCCTCCTGCCCCTGCCCCCCAGAAGTCATCCGCTCCCCACGACCATGAAGCTCAAAAGCCTCGGGTCATCAAGATCGGTGTCATCGGCGCTGGAGCAGCTGGCTTGTTCACGGGTCTTGTCTTGGACTACCTCAACAGCGAACTGAAGAAAGGTTCAATCCCTCTCTCTTTCGACTATGAAATCCATGAGGCGGCTGGATCAGATCGAGTTGGAGGTCGCTTGTTCACTTACAATTTTGGTGGCCAACGTGATACTCATGATTACTATGATGTTGGTGCGATGCGATTTCCTGACAACCCGGTCATGAAGCGGTAAGTCAGTCCCTTGTGCTACATGTCACTTGATAGCTCATACTGCCCAGCACATTTGAGCTCTTTGGCAGGCTTGGCATGGAAAAGACGGACTTGAAGACAAACCCCAACGCACCGGATGGTTCTCTCATCCCATATTATATGTCACCTAACGCGCCCAATACTAACCCCTGGTGCTACAACGACATCAACGTTTGGGGCGCTTCTTACCAGAGTGTTCAGACATCTGCTGGCACTGTTGACCCGTTTCAAGTTGATACCGATAACAGTATTGACCATAGGTAAGTTCCCTTATAAATGATGAAGGATTAGGAATCAATTCTGAATATTTATCAGGCTTCTCAAAGTTGGACCAGATGAGGTTGTAAAGGCCAATATTGAGCCACTTCGTCAGGCCCTAAAAGAAGATGCCGAGAAGACTCCTCCTGGTGACAAAGGCTGGAAGATGTTGATGGAATATGATACATACAGTACTCGACAATTCTTGGGAACGTGAGTACTTTCTGACGCTGCTGACTTTCCCTCAAAGCTGATTCATCCAGTGCGAACCCGAAGGTGAAACTCCCTAAGGACATCCCTCCACCTCCATATAACTATGAGACCATCGAGTGGCTCGAGACCTTCAACGGGTAAGTTGCCACCACTATGAACCCTATTTGATACTGACATCTTTCAGAGGAACTGACTGGTACGACCAAGCTCACAGTGAGACTGTTCTTGAGTCCCTTGACTTTGAGTTCAGCCCTGAGACCAAGTGGTTCTGTGTGCTCGGTGGCGCCCAACAGCTCGCCAAAAAGATGGAAGAGAGAATTACTAGCAAGCCCACATATCACAACCCAGTCGCTGCTATTCGTGCCATTGGTAAGATGGACGTGAGGCTCGATATTGTGGCTGGTAAGAGATCTGAGTATCGCCATTACGACGCCGTCGTGGCCACTACTACCCTCGGATGTCTTGGCCGCATGGACACTCGCCAAGCTGGCCTGAGATATCCGGTCAAGCAAGCCATTCGCTCTTTAGGCTATGGTCAGTCCTGCAAAGTGGCCATCAAGTTTAGCCACGCATGGTGGATCCACGATCTCAAGGACTTCAACATTCGCGAGGCAGGTCTAGGCCACTCCGACCTCGCCCTGCGAACTTGTGTATATCCTTCTTACAACATCTATGACGCCAAGACCAAGACAGCTGTTCTTCTGTGTTCTTACACCTGGCAGCAGGACTCTGATCGTCTTGGATGTCTCATGTCGACAAACAAAGACCACGGGCAGAAGGTCGCCGATGAACAAGCCCTGAAAGAGCTTCTGCTCCGTGATCTGGCTATCTTGCATAGAAACAAACAGATGAGTGAAAAGGATCTATACACTCTCATCAGTAAGAGCTATGTTGATCATCATGCCTACAGTTGGACTGAGGATCCCAACACTGCTGGAGCTTTCGCGTTCTTCAGACCCCAGCAGTTCAGCTCCATGTGGAACAGAGTGATCCAGCCATCGGGTGATGTCATCATTGCCGGTGAAGCCTCAAGCCCCCACCATGCCTGGGTCGTTGGCGCCCTTGAGAGTGTCGTCCATGGACTTCACTCTTGGATGGGTACCAATATCACTCTGGTTCCCGAGCTGAAGCATGCCAGAGACATTCTGGAGAAGGATGAGCCCGGAAACCCCTTCGTCGGTCTCCCTCCATATATGGATGTGAACATCTCCAACTGGCACGCTGTTATGGGTGTCGTCAACCGAGACAAGCATCTAGAGAAGATCGGAGGGTCTGATAACGGCAATTTGCTGTCTACTTTGCTCTCACACTTCGATGTTGAGGCTTTTAAGAAGGATATTCCTGCTCGATAACTGGTTTCGACTGGTTACCGGTTGTTCTGTTGGGGGCCCATAAGTGTATTCAGATTGAGTCATGGCTCATGAGATCAGTATGATGGTTCTACCGTCCGTTCTTTAGCTTTTACAACATTTTCATGATATCCACTCTCTTGTTTCATTGCTGCCGTCCATGATGAGTTGCAGCTTCCATTTTATCGCAACTTTCTCAAGTCCGCTCAGTAAACTTGGCTGATGCTAGGATGCATCATGACCGATTCTGAGCTCACTGTTTCATTGTCTGCGGAAACCCTGAACGAGTTTCTTGACTTACTCAGTGTTTGCTGTCATTGCAATATCTTGTCAGCAATATATTTATCCCCGATCTTTAAACTTGACTTACGCGTCCAAAAGACGCAATGCGTTACTTGCAGTTCAGACTTATGGCTGAGAGCTTAAACCAGCAGAGAGCTTAAACCAGCAGAGAGAACTTAGTGATTCCCTGAATGTAAGCATTGAAGATAAGTGATTATCACTCTTGGTACCGTAGTATTTGCATTCGGTATATGCATAGAACTTTCAATCGGAGTTTTCTTTTGTCCAGACTGATGCAGCCCTCGTTCTCGAGCCTCACACTAAAAAGCCGCCAAGTATATCGGGTCAGCATTATTGCCGTTTCTCGATCCTGTCCAGGAGAAAGGATGAGCTCGACCAATTTGGCGGATCGTAGATTCCTCAACACTGACCCGATGAATATTTTCTTTCCACAAATATTTTCTTGCTAGTCATTCTCGGGCGCGATCAAACGCGCCGTCAATAATTCATTTCCCTTAACCGCAAATCGGGTACCCAGAACATCAATTACGCGATGCAGGCCCATCTCGACAGCAGTAGGCCAGGTTATGAACCTCCCCGACAGTAGGAGTCTTGGCTATCACGAATTTGGCGATCCTACAGGAACTCCAGTGCTTTAAATCCATGGAACACCAGATTCGGGAGTCACACTCTCTGGATTTGAACACCCTCTCGCGAAACAGCTGGGCGTCCGCTAGATTGCCCCAGATCGTCCAGGTATCGGGAATTCCACATTTCATTCGCACCGAAGAGTCTTGGACTATCCAGCCGATCTGAGAGCTTTGATTCAGCATCTCGAACTTCCCTACTATCGCATCATTGAAACGAGTGGAGGTACTGGCTACACTCTCATGTGCACAAGCATTGCCTAGAGAGGAGTTATTGGCGGTTGGCATCTGTGCTGGCATCGGGCCTTGGGAAGCTGGTCAGGCCGGTCAAAGTGAACAAATCCAGAAACTCATGATGGTTTGGAAAGACCAGAACGAAGAGTTCGTAAAGTACATGGAAAGCATCTTTCTCGCTGCGGCACAGGATCCCGACCCGGCCAAAATGGAAGCAGTCTGGAGAGATCAAGGGTTTTGGAGAGGAAGATCGAGAAGTTCTGGAGAAACCAAGCGCTTTCCAGTCCGCTGTCAGGGTTTTCAGACAAGTTTATGCCCAAGGAGGGGCAGGTCATGGCCTCGAGATGAAGCTCAACACTGAACCTTGGGGTTTCAACCTGGAGGACATCGAGTACGAGAGTATAGACTGTGGTACGGGTCTGCAGACGAGAATACTTCACCAGAAATAGGACGATACATGGCAGAGAGGCTACCAAAGGCGGTCTACAAGGAGTATTCCGGGAGACGCACTACACTATATGGAGGGAAGACCTGTTGACGGAATTTCTCAAAGACCTGATACGCTGAAAGAATGAATCTTTCTGGTAGCGATGTGTCATAGCGATCAGGGTTTCTGGTAGATGCAAGTTTTCAAAAGAAGCGAAATCATGACAAACAAGGCACCAGTTTGTTATGCAAATACCTGTGGCCTGTTTCTAAGGCTTGTAGTGTTCACAAACCAACCATCAATGCCAAGCCAAGCAAAGTTGACTGTAGTTGTGGCCTGCCCTTTTCCCGGATTAGGACATGATAAGATAAGGATGGAAATGGCGTACTTCGTACCGCAAGACCAACCCATTGCGCTACCTTAGAGATGCATTTTACATTCAGTAACAGAAACAAATCATCGGGAAACGTGTACCGCCTAGTTAATGATAAAGCTCCCTGAGTAGTATCAGATAGCAGATTTGCTGATTAGCTTGGTATGAGTGAGTGGCAGATGCGTTTGGCGAGTTTGGAGCCCGATTCTAAGCACGCCATATCCCATTCTTATTTTCGACGCTGAGCGAGCGAACAAACTAAAATAGCTCACCCAAATCAAAGCTTTGGAGACGCGACGCGCGCGCGATAAGAGATCGCCTACGTATCATTTGCACTCCCCAATTTCTCTCCGCATTGTTATCAACGTACGGAGTACACGCTCCAACATTCACCTCTTGCACTGTGCCATGGTCAAACCAACATCAACGTAGCACATCATTTCAAAAGATAGTCGTTGCCTGGCGCATCAGATTGCCCTTCATGTTTCTTGACTGGAGGCAGAAGCGAGCAAGCAGGCGCATGCAAACTCCGTTCGGCACAAGCTGAGTTGTCCTTTTATCCTGCAGTAAAGCCTCAGACTTGTGCAGTGTTCTAAGTGCTTATGCAGTGGCTACCTTGCATTAGCATGCATAACTCTGGACACGATTATGCAATCTTCACAAACCGACGCAGTGCACAGTCAGTCATCCAATAAGAGCCACGCCCGGTTAGCTCAATCGGTAGAGCGTGAGACTCTTATGAGTACGCGATCTCAAGGTTGCAGGTTCGACCCCCGCATCGGGCTGTTCCTATAAATATTCGATTGCGAGCGTTTGCGAGGCTTTCTTTTTTTGCTCATTCTTCATCATAATGCGATTTGCTTGCATTTATGTGACTTGTTTAAAACTCATTCATGCTGTCTTTTTGCGTTGTCAACCTCTTGTCCTTATATTAAAGGACCTGTCCTGCTGTTTGCCTACTACTTAGAGAAGGTGCTAGACACTTTACTCAGATGTCACAATGCGCTTCGTTGATTTTTGCATTCAGAGCCAGAAAGCTCCCGTGTTTGCCATGGAGTTAATGAGGTCGGTTCAGCACAACTTACCTAGTAAACGAAGACAAATAAAAGAACATCATCAGATATCAGTTTGCACATAAAGTGGCGTTCATGTTGAACATTATAATACTATATAATGCCTAGAACGGGACTTCTTCTTCCCATCATTATCTGTCAACATTCTGAGTTCGACACTCAACCCTCCTCCACCAATCGCACTACAACTTCATCATAATGGCGACTCTGCATGCCCTCAAGAAAGCCCTCAAAAAGGTTGGCGATGAGGCGCCCCGGAAACCATTGAACGATAAAGAGTACGACGATGGGCTCAGCCTCTTTGCCGAGGCCTCTGACGAGCAGATGCACCAGGAAAAGGTCATGATTCCTCAACTGTCTGAACTGATAACCTCCCTCTCAACACGAGATGAGATCTCAGTCTTGGAGGTTGGCCCAGGCCCAGAAAGTGTTCTAGGGCACCTACCGGCCACACTGAGGAAGAGTATCACGAAATACGTCGCACTAGAGCCCTCTTTTCAATACACTCAAAGTCTCCAAAGATGGCTATGGCCTAGGGAGAACGAGAGACCACTCCCCTCCTTGAACTATTCGCTTGTTCGCCCAACTCCTTTTATAAAAGGGAGCTGCCCGGGCGAGAAGTACGACGTCATCATCTTCTGCCATGGCTTGTATGGATTGAAAAATAAAAAGGAGATCATCAGGCATACTATAGAGATGCTGCCTGAAGACCCGCTTGACGGTATGGTCATTATCTTTCACCGCGCTGGCTCTCTCATTTTCGACAACCTGGTCTGTCACCGTTCGCTGTCCTTCCCCAATCGCATTGTAGCTATCAAAGACGATGATGAAGCCATCGATAGTTTCACTCGCTTCATTGTCGGATACCGTTTGACAACCGGAGTATTCTATGAGACCCGTCAGGCTCAGTGGCGGACGATCTGCCGTGAACTGGCGGGCCATGACGACGATTACCCAGGCCATCTCATATTCAGCTCACCTGAAATCATGATAGCAATGACTCGACATGCCAACCAGCTACCTGACTTGACCGCCCGCGTACCATCAGTACCCAGGCCGTACAAAGTCAAAAATCGACAGGCGCTACACAACAGACCTGCCGCTATTGTCAGACCATTGGACATCAGCCAGATTCAGTCGTGTGTTCGATGGGCACTGAACAACGGAACCAGCTTGGCGATCCTGGGTGGTGGCCACAGCGATCATTGCCTTTGGCCTGGTGTAGTTTCCGTTGACATGAGTGCATTCGACAAAGTCCACGTCGTCAATCCACCCCAAGATGTAGACACGGAATGTTGGGTTGTCGCCGAAGCTGGGTGTAAGACGGGGGACATCATCCGTGAGACCATGGCTGTGGGTGTCACAGTGCCTTTGGGCTCCCGACCGAGTGTTGGTGCAGGTCTTTGGCTCCAAGGCGGCATTGGACATCTGGCCAGACACTGTGGCCTCGCCTGCGACGCTATCGTCGGTGCTGTCATGGTTGATGTGATTAGCGGTCAAGTTTTCTGCATCGGTTACGTTCCTGAACAACATCGACCTCCGAATGCCGTTCGTCACGAACGGGACGAGGGACTATTGTGGGCCTTGAAGGGAGCCGGAACGAACTTCGGTATTGTCATCAGCGTTACTTTCAAGACTTACACAGCCCAGGTGTTCTCAGTGCGTAATTACGGTCAGCCAAACGGTCATGACGCTGAGAAGACACTGACAACTAAGAGTCGTGAGGTATCCAGCCTGTATCCTCACAATATCTCTTCAGACTTTTACCTGTACTGCGAAGGTGGACGGATACGTTGTGGAATGACCACTTTCTTATGTTCCTTGGAGGGTGACATTTCTACGGCACCACCTCCGAAGACAATTGATGCTGTTGAGCTTTTCGACAAGGAGATGTACGTATCCAAGATGCATGCAGGACATGGGGGTAGCAAGACTTCTGCCTTCAAACGATGCGTTTTTCTGAAGGACATAGCCAACCCAGATATCATGAAGGTCTTGATAAGGGCCTCGAGGGATGGCCCTACGCCCTACTGTTATTTAAACCTTGTGCATGGTGGTAAAGCCGTGAGACATGTTGCATCTGAAGAGACTGCTTTTGGTTGCAGAGACTGGGATTTTGCTTGCATCGTCACTGGCATTTGGCCCAGAGAATATGATGGAACACACACTGCTGACGCTGTTGTTCGCTGGGTCTACCGGGTTGTGAACGAGCTCCTGCCAATGAGCAAAGGGGTCTACGGTGCAGATCTTGGCCCTGATCCTCGAGATAGTATCTTGGCCACCAAAGCTTTCGGCCCCAATCGCCGAAGGCTGGTTAAACTCAAGAAAGCATTTGACCCTAAGAACATCCTCGCGTATACTTGCCCTCTGACGCTTATCGGTCTGCCACAGAAGCTCGTCATTCTTGTCACCGGTGAGCACGGTGCTGGTAAGGACTATTGTGCTGGTGTCTGGTCTGTCGTCTTCAAGGCACATGGATATAGTAGTCGGGTGGTCAGCATCAGCGAGGTAACCAAGAGAAAATACGCAGCAGCAAAAGGTGCTGATCCTGTCCGTCTTCTCAATGATCGGCCCTACAAAGAACAGCACCAGAAGTCTCTTAATGATTTCTACAAGAGCCAACTGGGGGCAGGTCATTTTGCGGCAGAGAACCATTTTCTCGAAGTGCTGGAAGAAGATGGCTCGGATGTGCTGTTCATCACTGGCATGACGGAAACGGCCCCGCGTGCAGCGCTATCGCACCTTGTTCAGGATGCCAGGCTGATCGACGTTCGGGTTCAGGCGAGCAAGGCCACGCGAAACTTGCGAAGATGGGGAGACGAAAACAAGTGTAAAACACCAGACAGCGAAGAATACATGTCTGCAGAAGACATCTACTTACCAAACTTCACCTTTGAGAACGAAGCGAATGGAGAGGAAGCGGTGATGTGGTTTGCCAACCAGCGTCTTATTCCCTTCATGAGCATGAAGCTTCAGAACCTGGCTGGCATGGTGCCAACAGTACTGAACTTTCCACGCAAAGGCATCGACTTTCGCTACGTGCTGAATATGGCCCAACAGAACGGAGGACTCGCGCTGTGCACTTCGCTCCTGAAGAGTCACTTCTTAGGTGACTGGGACAAGGTGGATGTTGTAGTAACCAGCGAAGCCAGTGGGTATGTCTTTGCCTCGCCTCTAGCACTGGAAACAGCTATACGTCTGGTTCCCATCGTAAAAGGCAATAAATTCCCACCGCCTACGGTGTCTGTTCAGAGATGCTTGTCGCACATCTCATCTCACATAGTCGGCGCGACGGATAAGGGTATTTTTGAGATGAACGCCAACACAATTGACAAAGGCAGTAAAGTGGTTGTTGTTGACGATGTTCTCGCAACTGGAGAAACGCTCGTGGCGGTGCTCGAGTTGCTGGTCAAGGTTGGCGTACGACCAGAGGATATTAGCGTCATGGTTGTGGCGGAGTTTCCTTTTCATCGTGGACGACAGAGGCTATTGGAGAGTGCGTTTGGAAGAGTGGCTGTTCAGAGCCTCTTGGTATTTGATAGGCAGTAGGAGTGAAGGTGTGAGGTATCTAAATTGACGGTTAGATGAGTGGACGGATCTTAGGACTGGTGCATTTCCAACACAGGAGATAGCACTGAATAGATATCAATTCACTTTAGACTGAAGTACGTCCGTTCTTTCACAACCAAGTAACAGATTTGGAACAAATTTAGTCCGATCAGTCGAAGCGATTTATGGCACTCCTTTTGTCAAGACCAGAGAGATAGAACAAGATTATGCCCAGTAAGTTGAAAAGCAGGAGCCTGATTGAGAAAACTTAGCATCTTTGCAACAGTGAATAAAGAGACGTGAGGCCGAAATATTGAGTTGTAAGCTGCTTGGGACACGGATGTCGGCATCTGCGCAAATCGGAGCGTGCCGTTTTCGTGTAAGTCTTTGAGAACCTGATACAGTTGCACGACTATAGCCACAGAACATATTCCAGAAGCCCATGAATTGAGGGCAGGATACCACAGAGATGTGCAACGCAATCGAGAAACTGGTCACCCACGTGCTGGAGAATCCTCAACCGTTGGAGAGCCTCGGCTTTCGACGCATTCGGACGGCTTCCGTAGCTCAGTTGGTTAGAGCGTCGTACTAATACTTCATTCCGAGTATCCGGTAATGCGAAGGTCTCAGGTTCAAGCCCTGGCGGGAGCAATCCCATCGCCTTCCGAATGTTATTTTTGCCATCTCTGTAACTATCGTGATATGCTTTTGCCGGCGGATTAGAGGTGGCGTTGGTGTTAAGGCTGCGGCGGCTATTTTCGCTTGTCCCTGCCAGCACTTCAGGCGCCGAGGAAATAGATGTCTATGATAGATAAGATAAAGAAGTGGGCCTTGATAGCAGCAATCTGATTAGCGGTAGCAAACTTCAGTGAGGAAAGACTTAGACGAATATCTTTATTTAGACCAGTTTAGACTACATTTTTAATAAATTTAGGATGGGAATTGATGACTGTATAATGGGAATTACTCAGAAGTGTGTTTCCCATTAGAATATAATGATCAATTGGGTATCTAGCTATATAGAAAACGTAAATAACAGTCTACAGTTCAAACACTTCCTCCTGTACAAAGAAAAGTCCTTCTCTATCGGAAACACCACATGCAGCCGCTCTACCTTGTTCAATGAGTTGCCTTGGTCCGCATAAGTTCACGGCTGCATCCATGCCAAGATTGTTAGACTTGAGTTGCCTGAACCACTGCTTTAGATCTGGTCGTCCCGAATGAATAGACCAAGGGTGCGGCGAGCTCATGATCTGCATTTCATGAGATGGGTCGTTCATTTGAGCATCATGATGCCCTCCACCAGTTAAAAATATCGCTATTTCAAGAGTTGTTGTCGAATCTGGCTTTGCACATGCATTGGCAAGTTCAGCAAGTTCATCTGCGAACCACTGGATATGCTGGGCATATCTGACGACCCAAAGAAGATGAACGTGAGACGCGGAATGACTACCTACATCAATACCCGTTTGTCTGATGATATGAGACGCAATGCTGATACCTGGCGTAATTCCAATGCCACCGGCGACGAGGACGGTGACTGGTAGCAAGCCCCAGGACAGTGACTCAACACCGTATGGGCCATCAAGACGCATCTTGAGCGGATGAGCCATCATGCTGTTCGAGTCCAAGGAATCGCATCCGTGCGAATTTACATCACCGTTGCAGTCATCGTACTGTACAGCCTTGGTGAAGCCCCCAAGACCTCGGACGGCGATTGTCGCAGTCTTCTCAGGATCATTCGGTGCACTGGCGACAGTGAATGGATGCCAGTTCACAAAGGACACCCTTGGGATTTGGAGCCAGACAACCTGTCCGGGAGTACGAGTCCTCAGACCCTTGACCTTGAACTTTGTAACGTTTCCTTCGAATGCCTCGACACTCTGCACTTGGATGGTTCGAAAGTTGTACGTAAATCGGATTCCTCGATCAATGCCCCAGAGCAAAAGTCCCGGAAGCATAAATTCCGGCCCATGTGACGCATGGATCAAAGCCCCAACGACGAAAACAAAGAACAGAGCGTGCGTGTAGTAGAAGACTTCGAAGAAGCGGCGTCGCACAATCGGTAGGGCTGTAAGAAGCAGTAAGGCTAGAGAGATCCAGGCCATCAAGCCTACCTGGATCCGATGATTTCCAAAGCTGGTGGTGACCTGTTTTGTCTCGATGTAATGCTGGATATTGAACGATACATGGGCTGTTGCATGAGCAACTGTTGCAAGGCCGATCCAGCGATGGTACTGGAGAAGGACTGGACTGGGAATACGAAGAAGTGATGCGAATAGATTGTTACGGGATGCCATCAGCAGTGCGAGACCAGCATTGGCAATTGCTAACCAGCCGTACAGAGTATAATCGGCCGTAAACTCGTTGGATTGTACGCTGAAGATCAAGTTCAGTGCGAGAAAAGCAGTGAAGCGAGCAGCATCGGTGACGTGCCAGTCGAAGTACGGGAGAGGAAGCGGGAAGCTGTGTAGTTTGTGAAGCCAGACAGTAATCCTCCAGTGCAAGACATTCCGATCTTGACGTCGATCTGGGTGAATTAGCGAAGCTTAAACGTGGATAAATGAAGCTCCTACACTTGTTGTATCTTTGGAAGGCGTAGATACTGAAAGGAATAAGTGATTCTAAGAATATTAAGCCAATAACGCTGCTAAAGTAAACTCTGGCAGCAGTATAGCGATCGATAATCACGGGATCAGTCATTTTCGGATGGTAAGGAGGATCAAAAAGTGTAAGTCGATGTGAATGATCGGTGGTTCAATACTGCACATGAAAATGGAGAACACAAACACTAAATACTTGACGGACAAGCCTACACTGTCAAAAGCATGGCAGTGCAAAGGTGCTATTGCAGATGATGATTGATCAAACTTACCATTCGGACCTTGTGGCTGACTAGATTCCAAAGAAATAAATGCTAGGCCTGGGGCTGAGGAGATTCATGTTTTAGCACGGTAAATCAGAAACATTGTTGATTGATCAAATGTTCTGGTGCTATCCCTGACGTGGCGTCGAGGCTATGCTTCGAGGTGCGGGCGCTGGCTGCGTTGACCATCATCGCTAATCAGAATTTCCTCTTTGGGCAATGCGGATGGAAACAAGCTTAATTTTACGGTAAAATTAGGCAAAGACCTGCTGTGAAACATTTAGCCTCAAACGCTGAGGCGGATAATTGTTTCTGGGGCTTATTTGTTCTATCATCTGAATTGCCTCTTATAGAATCGAGGTGAAGTGGTACGGCAGTATAAGAACATTGAGACAGACAATGAAACCAGCTTCATCAGCAATCAACTCGCATTACAATCTACTTCCGTCTACTGCGACATTTCTGCAAAGCCAACATTTACCTCAACTTCATTACCTCTCTTTTTTCACAATGGCTTTCAAGCTCGCCGCTCTTCTCTTTGCCTCCGCTGCCATGGCCGCCAAGATGGGCGACTCTGGTACCCTGTCTTCACTGGACGCTGGACTCGGCGGTACAGTTGAGGTCGTCAGCGACACTGAACTCAAGATCACCGACTACGAACTCAAAGACGCATCCGCACCTGCTCTCTACTGGTGGGGATCCAAGACTGAAGATCTCTCATCCGGCTTCCGTATCAACAAAGAGCGCATCAGCGACACCTCTTCGAAGATGGACATCATGGTCAAACTTGATGCTGGCCATACTGCAAAAGACTTCTCTTACGTTGGTCTGTGGTGTGAGAAGTTTGACGCCAACTTTGGACAGGCAAGATTGACATCTGATGGCGGCTCTATGAATTCGACTGACGAGATGGATACAAAGAAAGATGACATGAAGAAGGATGAGATGAATGGCGCGTCGGGTTGTCCCACTGGTCAACCTGCCATGGTTTTGGCTATCCTGAGTCTGCTTGCTTTCTCTGCCTACTTTGCTTGATGACGTGTTGGGGGTTGTGAATTGGTGATGGGAACGGGTACATAACAGATAGCATGTAATTATTTCACTTCGGTATCAAATCTATCAATGCTTCTTTTCTTCAATTATGCAAATGGCGCTCTGATAGCTGAAGACTTATGCGAATGCCGTTTCTCTGTATTAATTGTGATGTTTGTGCTCGTCAACAGAAGCGCTAGGCCCCTCTAGCCTCCCAGCGGGTAAAGCTACTACAGTACAGGTGCGAGATGTGCTGTGGATCATAGTCAACAGCGGGTAGCCAGCTGGTAGTCGGCTGCATGCCGCTGTGTTTGAAGTCAATTTCTGTTTCAACCAGAATGCAGCTGTTGGTCTCAAACCCATCATGATCCCCGGAATGTTTCCCAAATACGATTTTTCGTTCGGACCTTTGATCCTTCAGGCTATGAAGCTCCCTTGTGCCGTTGAGCAGCTTACTCAATTAGGCAATCCTGATTATGAGACTCGAAACAAGCAGGCAGAACAAGCCTCACTGCAGTGTAAGCGCTAAGATTTTCAGCCCTGCGGGAGCCAAGTCAACAGCCTTGCTGCATTCAGTAATTCTGATTATCTGGGGGACAAAGCTTCAATTAAACATTGGCGAAAATGAGTTCTTATTCGGTTTGACCCCAGACTGTGATCGGCATTTGGCAACTTCATTTTGATTATCTCAAAGAGCTGATGGAAATGGTGTCGCTCCGCCTCGGGACAGGGCTATGTAAGCTTTGATGCATTTCTTCAAGGAAATATGATGAGGGCATCAATGTTGGGGTCCAAAGCAATGGTGTATATAAGCGATTGACCTTGGCACCTGTTTGTTCAATCCATCAAACAACACCACTCTCGTGCTTTAACACAATTCGATTAATCCATATTCTTTCCAACATCTATCTCTAATACGAACAACATGGACGCTGCCCACCAAACAGCGACATACGACATGACTTCCAACATGACAAGCTTCGAACCAACATCCAATATGGCAGCCTTCGACGCGGCGTCACATACAGAAAACATGGACGGTCGACACACACCTGACGATGAACACGAGCCTTGCATCAGGGCTAATGCAGGATCTGGAGGACATAACCTGTCACCGACTGATCCTGATAGCCCCATGAGTTGGTCAATTCTCAAGAAGATCTACGTGTCGGTTTGTGCATTCTTGTTTGTGTTTGTCATGTAAGTTATCCACGCCATGAAATGACGAAAGATACTAACTTAAGGAGCATGTATGGAACAACCACTTACACAGCAGCCATCGGTGCCATCCCAGAGGCTTTTGGTGTCTCACAGCGTGTCGCTGTTCTCGGTTTCACCATGCCATTCTTTGGCGTCTTTTTCGCACCTATCTACACTCCGCATCTCTCTGAGCGATACGGCCGACGACCTATTTACTTCACGAGCTTCCCGCTTTTCTGCCTCTGTGTGATCGTGATCGGTCTCGCGACAAACACATCGACACTGTTGGCTTTTCGCTTCCTGGCCGGACTTTTTGGTGGTCCTTGCGTTGTCTTGATCGAAGGCACATTCGCTGATGTCTGGTCTGCCAATAAGACCGTGACATATTACTCCTTCTTGACTCTTGCCTCTTATCTAGGGGCCGCCGCCGGTATGTTCTGAGCGTTTTCTTGAATGTAGAAAAAGAACTGACTGTTGTGACTGTAGGCCCTATTATCGGCGGTTTTGTCTTCGCAGCCAAAGGGCCCGCCTGGCTCTCATGGGTTACTCTCATCTTCGCCACCGCAGCCCTTGCATTTGGCTCCTTCATGCCTGAAACATACGGTCGAGAGATTCTACGAACCCGCATTCGCTACAACAAGAGCGGTATCAGACTTCCATGCGCTCAAAGCGGTGTGACACTTTCTGAGATGACCCGTATCACCGTTGTTACACCAGTCAAAATGCTCTTTGCAGAACCCCTCGTCATCTTGATCTCTCTCTACCTTGGCCTCAATTTTGCAGTTGTATTCCAGTGGTTCATTTCTGTACCAGCTGCATTGGGCGCCACTTATGGATTCGGAGTCAGGCAATCTGGTCTGGCATTCGTCTCCGCTATCGTTGGAGTGATACTAGCACTTCTTACCTCCTCCTTGATCGAGGCTCTACTCTCTAGTCGAGCTAAGCGAAGCATGGAAGATATTGAGAAGCGCCTTGTTCCAGCCATGTTCGGAGCATTCTTGGTGGCTGGTTCTCTGTTCTGGGTTGCCTTCACCGCGACTCCGAGCATACATTACCTGGCTCCAATTTCTGGTACTGCAGTATATGTCTGGGGGAATGCTATGGTCCTCATCTCGTTCATTTCTTATCTGTTCGATGCGTATCCGCCAGCTGGAACTCTATCCGCACTCACCACGGCGGCATGCTTTCGATTGGCCTGCGCAGGCATTGTACCAGTTTTCATCCTCGACATGCTTACCAACCTGGGCGGAGCCTGGACCTTCAGCCTCTTTGGCATTATCTCTGGTGTCATGACATCATTTCCTTTTGCTCTTTATTGGTTTGGAGCCCATTGGCGTAGCAAGAGTAGATACGGTACTCGCTGGACCGCCATTCCCGAGGTGCACACGATGTAATAGATACAACTGATTTTCGGGCTTGAGATCGGCTTTTGGTACCGTGTAGGGTGGTTATGATATCGTGTTTCTGCTATGTCAAGCGCTGGACTTGGAGATAGACTTAAATCTTAGAAGGGAGTTTTGTCATTGGACGTTTAAGTTCCGCGATCTGTAAATGCACGGTGATACTGTCTATTCGCCAATTGACCCTAGAATCTCGGCATTGCCTACCATTGCTAGTTTCCATATATCTCGCCCCATTGGATGCCAATCATAAGAAGACAACCTTTTTACCCTATCACTGGCTATGAAAGGATTCATCTAATCTGAAGGATTTGAAATGCCACCTTCCTTGAATGACAGGCCTTCTCGCTTAGACTGCCGAGATAACCGTGGTGGGCACTTTAAATGGCACCATAGCGTTTGAAGCTATACGCTTCTGAGGGTAGAGCAATCCTTCGCCCACCGAGCAACCTCTTCAGCACTTAACCGAAAGCTTAACTGAATGAAGCATACAGGTGAGCGTATTTGAAATGCCGCGTTGGGCAATGGCGAGGTATCATGACAGCTCCTGTAGGAACACATGCATCGGCTTTAGCAGACTCCGCCATTTCCGACAGTCTCAATGTGACATTATTCGGCCCATTTTACTTGTAAGTCGCACCAGACATCAGAAGATGCCAACAAGAAGCAATTGGCCATAAGTAGGCGATGTACAAGACCAGTATGTAGCTTTGTATCGACATTTCAAACCTGCGTTCCAACTTGCTCTCCTCGTGTTCATAATGAAGGGACTAGCCAGGTTGTTGGCCATCTCTAGCACTCTCGCTAGAGCTGCTAATGCCAAAGCAGTATTTGCTCATTACATGGTCAGTTCTTCTTACACTCATCTTCTTGTTGTGCCGTATTACTAAGGATTATGCCTTGTATTAGGTCGGAACTGTAACCCAGGAGCACGCGCATAAAGACATCGACAATGCCAAGTCTATGGGCCTAGACGGCTTCGCCTTGAACATTGGTGACGCTACTCGCGACTATGTCTCCCAAGCTCTCAGCTACCTTTTCCCATATGCCGAGTCTGTCGGTTTCAAGCTGTACATCTCCATGGATGTCTACGCCTCTGGTGATGCCTGCTATCATGGTGGGAAGTCGGTATGTGAAACGAACTTTCTGCATCACCTTCGAGATTAATTAACAGCCCACAGTGCCATGGCCCATCTGACTACCAGTGGGTTTGGGACTCGTATAAAGGAAGTTCAGCGTACTATCAGATCAAAGGCCGTCCTCTCATCAGCACATTCTCTTCTGGTGGTTTCCACAACGATACATGGATCAACTGGAAGAAAGGACTCGCAAATGACATGTTCTTCATGCCCGACTTTGACGAAACTGACGGATACTATGATTCAGCTGATGGGTGGTGGTCATACTGGGGCCCCATTGTCGACGGCATCTTCAGTTGGGAGTCTGCCTGGCCAGAACGCAAAGGCTTCGGCGGCAAGTATGCAGGAGACGTATCGATCGATGTTCCTGTTCTTGCTGGTGCTCAAAAACACGACAAGCTGTACATGATGGGTCTTAGTCCACTGCAGTACAAGAATGCTTATGGAGCGCATGTTTATCGACAAGGAGACCTGAACCTACCGAAGCGAATGGTCAACATCCTCAACATGGATCCCCAGCCCGACTATGTTCAGTTTCAGACCTGGAACGATGGCCCCGAAGCGCATTACATCGGAAACCTCTGGACTGAGCAAAATAATGACACCCAACCGTACTTCTATGCCAACCAGGAGACTTGGGATCATACAGGCTGGCAACCTCTTGTCTCGTCTTTCGTCAACGCTTACAAGACTGGCCAGTCAGCCTCCCAGATGACACCAATGAACGGGGATGTTCTGGTCGGTGCTGCGTGGTATCGAACTGAGCTTTCGGATGTGAAATGTCCGTATGAGGGCAACGATGCCTACTACAACAAACCCGACGGATGGGATGATGATGTCAACTATCTCTACTATGCTATCATCCTCAATCCGTCATACGGAACCGGGTACAAGGTAACCGTTTCTGGAACCACCGAGCACACAGCCCCTCTGAATCCTGGTATGAACTACGGTTATGGCGCTGGAGAGGTTCAAACCGGCGCTCAACGGATCACAGTCAAGGACCCCAGTGGCAATGTCATTTATTCAGCGACCGGTGGAATGTGTGTTAGCGATGGCTGTCCCAACTATATCTACAATGGAAACTACCAGGTTCTGCCGTTCAAGAAGGGTAACGCCGATCCCGTTTGCACTCAATGGCCTGGTATGGATCACAGCGCTTGCGACTACGGCACTTGTCATGCCAGTGGTGACGGCGGTAACAACGCAGCGGGCGATGACTTCACTCATGTTACCTGTACTAACCCTGGAGTTACTGATGCTTCCAAAGATGCAAAGTTTCGTTGGGACTCTGTGTATGCGGACCAGGCATGGAATTGGGGTATTGATCAGTGGAATGCTAATCCGTTCCCTGGCGGCTTAAACTTTACAGAGCAGGTTTGTAGTGTCCATCATGATCCAATCAGGATAAATGACTAACACAGTTTGATAGTTCAGCAACCTCTTCCACGGTCCAGAGGGTATTGACTGCGGTACCATCGAGAACGACAACCCCTGCGGCTCTAATGTCGTGCAATGTAACGACGTCACGTATCCGGGAGCCTACTTTGCCATTAACTCCATGGAGTCTATCTACCGCGTATGTACCCTTTGCTAATCTTCAAAGCATAAGAACTTGACCTGATGACTCTACAGGTTCACTTCAACTTTTGGGACGCACTCGATAGGGCTCAGAACGACATCAATGCTCAAGTTGGAGAGCTCTCCAGCACCTTCGCGCCCATCAAGTCAAGCGATTTCTCAGTTAAGCTCCTTCTTGACATTATTGGTCTGGGCTTTTCCCTCTCGGTGTCGCCGATGTGGAATTCAGGTTAGTACTGGTCGATTACATGAGTGACATTGTGCTGGGCTAACCAGATGTAGCTCTGAAAGGTATGCCTTACTTCAAGGCCAATCCCAACACATTGGCTACTGTCAAGGATTGGGTGAACCCGATGGTAACAAACAGCATTACTATTGCGAAAGACACCCTGAAAGAGTAAGTGACTTCATGTGCTCACAGCGCTTCGAGGATACATTGACTAAAGCCTCGCAGTGACAGCGCCCTCAGTGCCGAGAACTCCATCTCGACTAGGCTCAACGGTATGTAGTTCATGTGCGTCTCCTCCTCATGCTTCACTAACAAATCACTCTTCGACAGCCATTGTTACAATTTGGCAAGCTGAGATCGTCTCTATGAACGAGCAGCTTTTCAACGGTTCCAAGGAGAGTACTGATCTACTCTTCACCGCTATTACTGACGGCCAGATGCTCGAAACGAAGCATCAAGATCTTGGTGTCGATGCGATTCAAGCACTTGTCTCAAAGGCGCTCTTCGCGGAACTGGTCCCACTCGCTTGGCAGCTGTCATCTTCCGAGCTTGGCCCAGTGTACGTTGTCACTCTAAAGTATTATGTCCATCTACTAACCAAGCTTCCAGTGTCATCGACTCCGAGCAAGGCTGCGGAGACAAACCCAATGTGAAGCATATGAGCTCCAAGAACTACGATTCATCTGGTGTCTGTGTTGGTTCTAAGATGTACTACTTGATCGGATGTACAGGCGAAGCTCGATCCTGCGACGAGTCCCATGGAAGCTTCAATCCTGGATGTACCGAAAATTTCTTCAGTAGTCTGCCAGGACTCGCTGATCTGACTGGATCAGAAACGGCGTTTGGTGGTTTGACCAAGGAAGATATTGTCAACGGGTAAGTAGAACCCATATCCCAAGCCTTTAGGTTTATGTTGAAACAATCGCTGATGCTTGGTAACAGAGCCGTGAACAGCTTTGTTGGTAATGGGAATGCCAATGGCTGGTCTATGCTTGATCCTTCCAACACAGTTGGCGGTATGGATCTAGTCTCCGAGTACAACGTCACAGCCCCAGGAGTTGTTATGTTGCCAGTCTGCACTGCATCCGAGGCATTTTCGAATTGGTTCTCCTTCACTAATGGAAAATCCAAGTCGGCCAACTACCCATGCAGTTAACCTAGGCAAAGGTATGGTTAAATTCGCCGGGTTATGTATTGTCTTTCTTCATTTCACTCCTCGAGGACTCCGTCTCGAGGCCTTATCTTTATAAGAATCTTTACTTAAAATTTGGCTGTTTACCTGTCTTTTTGATTAGGCATCTTAAGGATAGGAAGTTGAATACATTTTTTTGCTGTGTATTATAATACTTAGAAGCTGTAACTACAGTTTTATCAGAAGCGACTACATATTGATGATAATAATCAAAAATATCTGCATGACGCATGATTGTCAGGTTGAAACACTATATAGCTCATGAGCAAGGGAACTTGTCCAATATTCTTCTTGAGCATGTACTGGAAGACATCCATAAAACGGTATGTATTAAGGTGGCGTCTCTAGCAATAGAGTCTGAGGTGAAAACAATAAACCGTGAAAGGGAACTAGAGCCTCAACGGCTATGCTACTGTGAAAAATGCCATGAAGTGCATAAACCCAGTGACCTCAACACAACCTATGCCCCTCACCTCAATAATCAAGGTAGGTTCAGAAGTATTCCCAAAATGTTGTCACACCCCTATTGCCTGGTGGATCAAAGAAGCGAGGAATGGAATCCTCACCATTTGCGCTGAACAAATACTCCCGTCCTTCTCTTTGGGTTTCCTCGATACCCGACTCTCTTCGATACTGGCAAAGTTGCAAAAGGCGTAGTCGTTGTCTCTCCTTCTCTTCAAGCATGGCTTCCGTTCCAAACGCAGTGTTTCCTTGATTGTCAAGCTCCTCGATTGTAGGGAAGTGGCTAAGGCCCATCCTGAAAACCCTAGTATCATCGAGGAACACCCACGCCCGTTGTCTAAATATTTTGACTTGTATGTAAGATAAGGATGCATGAGTATGAGATAATCTCCGCATCAAGAAAGATCTCGGCGAGTCATCTTGATGATAAAGATAGTCTGTCCGCATTCTGTTGAGGAGAGGCAGGAGATAGTGGCGAGAAATTGGATACTGCAGCCTTGTATAAGGGGAATGTATGGTATAAAACCAACTCCGCATATCTTCGGGTTGTGTCTTGTTTGCAAAGAGTACTGTATTTCTGAGTAGATCGAAGCCGATTTCTGGGAAGTTACAAGCATATCCTACCATTACAGGTAAACATGTTGATGGCAGGTCCATATCCTCCCAGGCTTTAAATGGGCTGAAATAAAGATTGTCTGGGTAAAACAGGCGTATCGGGCTGGCGGGCTTGTCTGGTAAAGCACTGGAAGCATGTCTGGTTGAGCAACGTGTAGAGACAGTATAAAGAGCCCCATATACAGCATCGACATACTCAAGAACGCATTTAATTGCTTCATCCTCGCAGTCGGTAAGTTCATCAATTGCTCTTTTAGAAATAGCCATATATTCGTTGTCTTCCATCAATGATACAGCCTTAGGTCCTTGAACCTTGGAGAACATCTCGTATTTAATAAATGCCCATAGAAGAAAATGGCGTTCTGATGACATCAAGTCATCTAAGGTGATATGTCTTGGACTAAAGCTGTGTTCCTTGTAGTAAAGCCCTCTATTTGGGTTGGTGATCTGAGGAAGACAAAGGTAGGCTTGAGGCGGGTTTGAGGAAGTGGCTTTGCTGATGTAGTCCTCAACAAACATACTTATAGAGGAGAAGAGTTTATAAAGCTTTGCAATGGTATCCTGATCCTTTTCCTCAAAAGGATTGGGTAAAGCCTTTGAGTTCCACTGCCTGATGATGTATTTCATGACGTGATTGTCTGGTCGATTGTCGGACGGACCCAAATACAGCAGCCCCAAGGCGTCTTGTAGAAGGTCTTCGTGCCGATCGCCGGTGAGTAGGTTGGCAACATAATGCCGTCTTATAGTTGTCTTGGATACCTTGTACTGAGAAAACATTGCTGGAGATGCTTGCATGAGTCGAAAGATTGTAGCTGTGGACGAGAACTTGGAGAAAATTCGGATCCTGAGCTCAGGAGGGAGTTTCGAAAAGCAGTCCATTTTTCGGTATGTCTTCAGGTAGGTAAGGAGGGTTTTTCTGGAAGCGGTGATCTTGATGGGGTGAGTAGCAGACCTTTGCCGAGAGAGAAGAGAGGTCTTCTTACAGAGCCTGGAATTATGCTTTACGAGGTTAAATTGGCCTCAAGCTTTTGTGTGAATCTTTAATTTTACCACGGAACCTTGATAATTTGAACCACAAGAAAAGTTGACCTCGTCCGAGTGAACTCTTAATCAAAAGTAGGGATTGGTGCTTATCTTATAGCAAAAGTCTATTTGCTTTCTTATTGGCTTTCTGTGATAGGGTTGAGGGGTCAAAAGAGGCTTCAGCCTCAAGACCACAAAGGGAAAGAACACCAAAAAAAAACACATACAGGCAAAATACTCATTACCCTCACTATTGCCTAGGGTCTTACTTTTAACTGAAAGCTAAATATCCTAATAACTGACTCTAGAGGTATATAAATAAGTGGCTGCTGCTCTTCCGTGAGGACGATCAGGCTAAAAGCACACAAAACACACATAAGGTATCATGCCCCTTATTGGCTTTCAACGAATGAAAATAGCAGCAAGACAAGGTCCGACCTGAAGTAACGTGGGATTCACGAAGTGAGATTCGTTTATATAACTTTATCGGAATGGGAACCATGTTTATACGAGCCACGTACGCTATTAAGGCTCTGTGTGATAATGTAACTTAGGTAGCTTAGAATATTCGACCCCATAGCCTCATGAAGCCGCCAAATTTAACCTTTGAGGATAGATCTTTAACATGTTGACTCGTTCGAGAAAGAAAAGCAGGCCTCTTAATTTGACGAACATGAGAATCTAATACAACTACCTATTTTATTGTATATAGAAACGTTCGCCCAATTTTGAAACCTCCTGTGCTTGAAAGCGGCGACGATTTCGGATCTTGACCAAACTGCGAACACCATATCTCTCATCAGCATTGACCGTCTTAATCCTTTCGCTTCTCGATCTTAGGTAGTCCAAGCCAGATTATGAAAAGCACAGCCAGAATAGCGAGAATAATTGGCTGAAGAACCTGTACTCCTTTGGCTTGCGCAATCGCACCAACAGCAAAGGGCAGTACAGCTGCGCCGCTTCCACCAAACGCAGCAGCGAAACCAATTGCGCTGACGTGAAGATGTCTCGGAAGAAGCATTGTAAGTGCGACAATCACACAAGGGAACATGGGTCCCAAAAAGAAGCCCTGCAATGAAACTGCTACCGCCGAGACGTGGAATTGCGGGACGAGCCAAAAGATGAGCTGTAGCCCCATGGTGATAGGAATGAAGATCATGAGTGACAATTTGACACCAATCTTGGGAATCACCATGCCCAAGACCAGACGTCCGATGGTGATGCCAAGCCAGAAACCGACGGCTGTCATTCCAGCATCGAAAGGGTCGGCATTACGAACACGCAGCATGAATTGCACGACCCAGCCGCCGAGAGCGACTTCGGTACCAACGTAGCCGAGTAGGAAGAACGCGCAGAGCCATACGACGCGAGCATGAGGCTTGACGAAGAGAGCAGCGCGTGTTCCCTCGTTGCGAGTGCTCTCGGTGTGAACAGTCTCGCGATACTTCTGAGCTGTCTTGGGCCAGAAGGAGTATGTGAGAGTTGCGGTCTCTAGAACAGCCATACCCAGCTAAAATAATAATCAGTAATCTCGTATAAGGAGATTGATGTCCAGAACTTACAAGCACATAGTAAAAGTCATACCAGCCAAGGTTCGCCTGGGTGATCATGCTAGTCGCGATAAGAGGGCTAACAGTACCTCCAAGTCCATAACTCGCATGCATAAAACCCAGTAACTCGTTAGACCTCGCCAAATTGCCAATGTACGAATTCCAAGCAGCAAGTCCAATGCCATTACCAAGACCTGCGAGGACATATGCCAAGACGAGAACAGGATAAGGCGGATGCTGCGATAAGATAAGATATGTCAAGGCGTGGGATCCTCCGCACATGAAGGCGATCCATCGCTGACCGATGTTCATGTGAAGATAGTTATTGACCGCTGCTGAGACGATGAATCCGACAAATGGCGAGAGGAAGATGAGTGAAACAACTAGGTAAGAGAGCTCGTAGTAGGTCTCAAGATAAGGGATCAAAGCTCCGTATGCAGCATCGTTGGCGCCTGAGACGAAAAGACTCCAGTAGACAGCGCCGACTCGAAAGGCATTGCCAATGGGTTCGTTCCACTTCTCTACAGCGAGAGTGGCCCTCGGAGGTGCGGCTTCATCACCTGAGCCAGTGAATTCATCAGACTCATGTGCATGGTCGGTATGCGATCCCAGCCGACGCCCCGTCGTGGATAAAACTGGGTTTGGCTGCTTGGGCGTTGCACCGGCTTCGTGAGTGAGACTGAGAGTCTCGAGCTCAAGAGCCTGGGTAGGATAAGACCTTGACGTAGCCATGTTGAATTGAACTGAATCGAATTGGCAACTCAGCTTTTGAAGGTTGTGCAATTGAAAGGTTCAATTAAAGGGCCAAGAAGTTGCCGAGAGGGCGCATAAAAAATCTTTCTTGACTCATCGGCGAGAAATGGCGGGGAATTGCGCTAACTCGCTGGGTGCTTATCGGAGCCAAGATGTGGCGAGCTCGGGATCTACAGCACCGAGGGGAGACTTCTAGTGACAAAAAGGTGCTCTAGTGCTCTATTCAATCGACAATGCCATGCGACAGCATTCAATGTATATGTAAACTCCGTAATAACTCCATCAATACTCCAAATTATAGATCCAGCCTTCTTCATACAGTCCTGTTCGCTACTGGGTACGGAAATTCCAGTGGGAATTTTGGTGCCTCAACCACTGAATGTCCACCATCAAATACTGCCGGGATCATATGTCCTGGGCTCATCAGATTGAGCAACCACATGACTAATAAAATGCAAAGAACCTTGGTTTTGGGCACTGAGAGGCCAGAGAAGCCTGGTATCTTCTGTAGCCAAGCCCAGAAAGAAAGTCCGCCGAGTTTCTCATCTTCTGTGCCTTGATGCATAATCATCTTGACGATGTATCCTGTTGAACCAGCGACCGCGTTACTGATCCATAGGAATATTGGCAGGATGATCACCAAAGTCCTCCATCGGTCTCCCATGAGCGATCCATCGCCAAACAGGCCATCTACAATAAGAACACCGTCGGTATCGGCCGCGAGGAGGATATGGAACTGGAGAATGTAGGTCTCCAAAGAACAACGACCTAGCCAAGCCATAGCTTTGGAATGATAATTGCGAACAGGTCCCGAGATATTCCGTACGGCGATAAAACCCAGTATTGGTACAAGAGACACATACGGATGCCATTTCGCGTATTCTGCCACGCGGAGATCTGAAGTCGCATAGAAGTAATGTATGGTGGCGAAGAAGCCTACCAGAGCAAGCGTTACACGAAGCCCCAGGTGAATAGGTATCTTCAAGTGCCGGTTGGCAACGGCTGTCAGCATACCAACGTAGACAACGAGCATGTCGAGTGTAGCACGGCGATACCATTGCTTGTAACTCCACTGCATCTTGAAGACAGTGTTGAGGATCTCAAAGACCCAACGCGTCAGAGACGTCCCCATGAATAACATGGATACAATGAGACAGGACATGCAGATCTTGGCCAGCATAACCTGCAAATCGCTGTTGTACCTTGGTCTAATCGCCATTGTCGCGTAGACGACGAGGAACCAGAACGACATCAAAGGCGGGAAATGGTAGAACATGTAATCGGTATCCATAAAGTACGCCAGACAGCAGCTGAGTATGTTAAGGCGCAGTAACGTAGTTGCGACGCGATTAAATGAGAAGTCGTTCTTGTTCAAGAAGTAAAGCGTATGCCCGTAGCCGGTCTGGAAGAGATACGCCGCAACGCAGACACGGATGAGGACGTGAATAGAGCCGCCATGAGCACCGGTCCAGTGATAGATAAGGATGAAGAACTGCATCCATCCTTTCCACTCATCGGTCTGATCCCGGGAGAGGAATGGCTGGTCTGTCTCCTGCATGTCTACTGAGAGGTCCTCTGGAACAGGCGACTTGATGCGACGAATCGTAGCCAACATTATTGCGATACAAGGAATGCAAAGCGCGACAAAGCCTTTCATTTGCCAAAGCTTACTACCCTTTGCCATCATCTGTGTGCGATCAGCGTAGTAGCACATCAGAAGTGCCAATACGAGACATCCTGCTTGCATGTTGAGGAGCTTGAAGCGAGGCTGATCGCCACTCCGGTCGGCGAACATATCCAGGACCTCGCACATGATGCAAGCAGCCAGGTACACAATACCAAATGCCACGACGGAAAGTTGCACAAGTGGCTTGACGCCATAGTCAGTGCAGCACGTCCGTGAGTAGGGATATGGCTTCATGCGGTCCAGCTTCGCATTGCATCGCATGTTTAGAAGAATGTTGGCTCGAAGCTCTGCGACGTGAAACTTGACGTGAAAGCCGGTGCGGAGGGGATCGCGCCAGACCTTATCTTGGCCCTCGACAAGGTTTGCAATGGACCAAACGAATGGAATGTTGAACTCATCCTCCTTGTCCAGTAGCCAGTCCTGCATCTCAACGACTTCTTCTGCTCGTCGACCTCTGTCGATAACCATCTTGGTATCATTACCGAGGTATCGCGGCCCAGCGGGCGGTGCGTAGAAGATCTGATTTCCGATACCGTCTCGTGGATCCATCGGCGCGCTGAACCAATCTTCGTGCGGCGTATTATCGCCAATGAATTTGTCAACCTTTAACAGATGATCCTGAAATGCCGAGAAACGGTCATCCCAAGGGTCAAGGGCGGTAGAGTTGATACCTCCATAATGAGGATGGGTATACCATGCGCCTGCAGCTATATAGATCATGGCTGGGCCTTTTTGGCGTTCAACTGATGGAGGGCTGGTCTTCTCATCTACGTAAGTTTCGAGGTGGCTAACGAACTGTTCTCTTCCTGGGACACCATGCGATGAGAGATACACGTTTGCAACTCGTTCTATCCTTTGGCCATGATATGTCATGTTGAAGGATGTTGTTTTGCTGAACAACTTGGCTGCCTCGTCCTTTTTGTACTGCTTGTTATCGAGCTATCATTTTGTCAATTCATGGCTTTCCAAGGTCTCTTTGAATTACTTACCAGGTTAGCCATGGCAAGACCAAGATTCTTAGAGGTGGAGTCGCCAACGATCACAATTGGACGGCCCTCTGTACATCTGCGGATATCTTGTGAGTCGTAGTGATTGAGGATACAGCCATCAGGCTGCCATTGCTTGAATGGATCCCGATTTCCATACTCATCGCGAATCGGGTCAATCCATCGACCTGTTTTCTGCACTGCGCGACAGCGGTAAGGATCATCTCCAGGGAAAAGAGATTTGAACGCCACCAAGGCTAAGAAAAGAGTTGCAAAAACGACGGGTAGCAATCTGCTCCATGATTGATTCATCTTGTCGTATGGCTTGCAACAAAATGTCTTTGTTGGTTGCTCATAAGCAGATCCATCAACCACGTTTTAAAGATGGTTGATGGGTTCAAGTCGAAGAGGCCGCGTTGCGCCAAGTGAAAAGGGGATTCGAGTGAATTCCTGCCAAAGCCTCCCTTGCTCTAACCTCGTTGTGGCCTCGTGTGCAGATCGGAGATAATCGCTCATTAAATTGGCCCCTCGCCTAAAGCGCCACAGACCCTCATTGCTCTAAAATGTTTGAAGATACAGAGTGTTTAATGGTTAACGTCGGAGCTTCACTCCTGAAGCTTAGCGGTAATCGTGTTAGCTTGATGCTAGCTAAAAGTCGCTTCCAGTGAAGGGCTACTCTAAAGAGGCCACCCCTGTCTTGGCGCAACGGAAGGCTCAGGCTTGCATCTCGAGGTCTTGAATGTCACTGTTTTGCTCGCTGCTAAGCTTAAAACTTTAATTCTTGGATATAACCAGGCTGGTGGTATGCGATAAAGCTAAAGCTAAGTAGAACAATTATTTGGCACAATGAACATCCTAAACTCTCTGCTTCCAAACAGTTGATGCCCAGCAAATGGCCACTTGAACCGCCGGGACTAGAGGTCAAACGGACCAGCATTACAAGCTTTCTTGGCTTTAGAGAGGATATCAGCATGACGACTGCAAGTCGATCCCGACTCTGGGCATCTGACTCGAGTTTCTTGGCTTGGCATTAAGGATGCATGCAAGTCGGGCCTGCGACAGTTGCGCATTTGGAGCACCAGGCATGGCCTGATTTGCATAGCAGGGCATGCTGATCTTTCTACGTGCCAGACACTGACCAGACTGTAAAAGCGCTTTCAATGATATTATGTAGTTATTATGGAGGAATGCGTACGTGGGGTTTGATACCGCACCAAAGTCGGTGCTCTGATCTTGAAATGTTCGCCAGAAGTTGATATCTTCAGTGACGGACACTCTTGTTCTCGAAAGCCCTGCAATTCAGCTAAATGGCGCAAAGGTGAGACACGCAATTTCAATAACCGCCATTTGATTATGTGTAATATATGCCAGCGTAAGGAACCTTAATTATGCCGTCGCGTCAAATCAGGGAGATCAATCAAAGGGTATTGGACTCATGGAAAATTTACAAGGTTCATACAAGCTTTGTTGCTTAATTCTGCAGACTAGACAAGAAAGAGGATGGTTGGAGAAGGGAGGCTTTGTAGCGTGATGAGCTTATTTTGAATCGCTAGGGAAGGGGGGCATTTGAGACATCGACGGCTCAAGACACGTAAGCCCTGGTTCACTGTTTACCAGTTCGACAAGCCAATAGAATACCTCCACAAACTTGAAGAGGTTCATAGGAGAATAACAGCCTTCAAGAGAATCTGCATCCGTTATTTCGCTCCGGAAAGGTTCAAAATAGGAATGCGTTATTAGATAAGTTCACTACCGATCCCAGCGGCGAAGAAACTAACAACATGCGTGGATTAGTTCCGGAGGCTGCTAGATTGATGGACTTCCTAGACTTGGTCGGGGGGCGATCGTGGGAAGGCCATTGAATCTACAGTACTGTTTCGTGGGGTTGGCGTTTGTTGTGGTAATTTACCCAGTCTTAGGCACTTCTGCAGTGCCATTGATCGCTGTCGTGAGTGTTTTAGTGATTGACTTCGTGAGTGGATTGTGCTAAATCTTTATATATTATGATAGTATGTTAGTTAGCCTGAAAAAGAAAAACTGTGGTAATTGATGTTCTATCTACTACTACGGTGTCGGATCTTACCTATAACATTCGTGTCTTTAGCCTGCTTCATTGTCCTTTTATGAGTGGCAGCTGGTATCCTCCTCTTCAGATGTTGATACACTTACGCTACCCTAGACACAACGGCTTGGACTTGGCCGTTTCTCTGAATGCAGGACAAACAATTATGACAGGCGACCCTAACCCATGTGGTTTTCCCAAGGTCTTGTGAAACAATCATGGCATGATTGCGCGTCTCTGAAGGTGAAACAATTCTGACCAATCAACAAACAACTGTACGTCTCCTAGGAATGTCGCTCAAATCGAGACATTTCCTAGCAGCACCTCGGTAAGCACTCTCCCATCGGCGAACGGACCAGATCTTCTCCTAACGTCATCCAATGTCGGTCCATGTTATTCCGGTTATCCGTGCCATGATGCCGGCGAGCTATGCCATTCCAAGATTATCCGTTGCATTTCCCCGCAAGTTGCATCACCGCTTCCCCAGATTCCGAAAAGCTTGACCAAATGCAGTAACCTCAACGCCGGTCGTTGAAAGCTCGTGAGGTTTAGCCTGTTAATTTCTAACGCCTTCAAGCATGGCATATGCAAAAGGGCCGGTGATACGCCGACCGGGGTCAACTTCTGGTTGCCGAAGATAGTATATGGAGTCATGTAGTTTGCGATGTCGTTGAACGAATATGTAGATGATCCGACGGGTATTCACAATGGAGTCGTTGTATCGTATGATCCTGTTAGCAGCACTTCTGCCCTTCTCTGTTGCCGTGAGCTCCACGGTCGATCTTGGGTATAGCAAATACAAAGGCAACGTCCTTGACAATGGTGTCTCGGAATGGCTTGGAGTTCGATATGCTGCCGCACCGGTCAAGGACTTGAGGTTCAAGCTTCCCCAGGATCCTGTCCGCATGAGAACCGTGCAGGATGCCACCAAGGTAGGCCACGCCACTTCTCCCTCGGTCCAACGAACCCCTGCTAACACTCTGCAGCGGGGAACAGTATGCATCGCAACAGGTTCTGATCCCAAAATCATTGGCGATACTCAATCCGAGGACTGCCTCTTTCTCAACATCTGGGCACCAACAAAAGCCTCGACCAAGGACAAGCTTCCAGTATATATCTATATCCAAGGCGGTGGTTTCAACGGCAACTCAAATGCCAACGCAAACGGTACTGCTCTGGTCGTCGCAGGCGACTTGGATATGATCGTCGTTTCCATCAACTATCGCGTTGGTGTATACGGTTTCCTCAATGACGCTGACCAGATCACACCAAACGTCGGTCTCTATGATCAGCGAAAGGCATTCCAATGGGTCCAGAGGCACATCTCCAAGTTCGGTGGTAACCCTGACCATGTTGTCATCGGCGGCGAGTCTGCTGGTGCTGCAAGTGTCAGTCTGCATCTTACCGCTTATGGAGGCAAGGATGAAGGTCTCTTCCATGGCGCGATTGCCCAATCTATCTCGTTCGGGTCTCTCCTCACCGAGAAGGAATCTGTGTATCAGTTCAACACTCTGGCCGTGCGACTAGGCTGCGTTGGTGCGAAGAAGGACATTCTTCCCTGCATTCGTTCCAAGTCGCCCCAGGAGATCCAGAAGATCAACAATAACCTCCCGAACCTTGGCAGCACTACACCGCCTCTGTTTATGTGGACTCCCAGTATCGATGGCAAGCTCGTACCCGATGTGACCTATCGGGTTTATGAGGAGGGGAAGTTTGTTAAGGTGCCTCTGATGGCGGGCGATGACACCAATGGAGGGACTGTGTTTACGCCTGTGAATACATCTTCTTCGGTGGAAAGCAATGAGTTTATGAAAGCGAACTTTCCCTTCCTAACTCTAGAGCAACTGGAGCAAATTAACGCACTCTACCCCAACAAAAACGAGTCTTGCCCTAACCCTGGGTGCTGGTGGCGTCAGGTCAGTGACGTCTACGGAGACATGAGATACATGTGCTCATCAATGTATATCTCTAATGCACTGCCAACCCACGGCGTTCCCAACTCTTGGAATTATTGGTATGACGTAGAGGATCCAGCTCAGGTGGCTGCAGGCTACGGTGTTCCTCATGTTGTTGAGAACCAAGCTGTGTTCGGACCTGGTCCGGGCTCGCCAGCCAGCTACCTGAATGGCGGGAAGAATGTCCCCGTGGTCCCTGTGATCCAAGCCTATTGGACAAGCTTCATTCGTACCTTGGATCCGAATACGCATCGCGATAAGAGTGCTGTCAAGTGGGAGCAATGGACGGAAAAGGATCGGAAGCGACTGAAGTTCGAGACTGGCGGTAAAACCAAAATAGAGACGCCAAGCAAAGATTTGCAAAAGAAATGCGATTACTGGGCCGACATCGGTCCAAGTATTCGGCAATAAATGAGATAGTGTTATGAGGCGCAGCTATGTACCTGGATGCCGTCACCAAGGTTAAGTTTAGGTGGCTCATTTACATGACAGGAATACGATAACCCGTTTCATACAAGCAGCATCTTCTCAAAAGCCTTCCACGAAGCTCTGTACTTATTTAAGACGTTGGCCATAAGTTTCAGATAAACTTAGACACTATATCACCATGTCTAACCAAACTCCACAGCCCAAGACTGATTTCATGGTTGATAGTTAGAGCCTATGACATCTCAACAAGACATATCAAGCCATCGCACTGCAAAATACCAATTAACTTCAGGTTTCCAAAGGCAATATGCACATACCCTCAACAAAGACAAGTCTCCCAATGAGCTGATTTCATGAAAACCTAAAAAATGACTCTATTGCAAAAGCCTGCCACGATGTGTTAGGCACAAGATCAGATGACCCGTCTTGCGGAGAAATCACGTCGGTTCTTTGTGGTGGTCTTGAATGGAATTATTTATTAGCTAACTCGGCTTAACCCAGGCTCTCATACAAGCCACAATTCTCAACTGTAAATTTCATGTGACAGAATTATAATCGAACATTATACTAGAATGCCTGAACGGCGATAATTTCAATTGAACTTAAACTTTCAAGATACCATGGCGATATGAGATACTCTTTGACGTGGCTAAAGCGTATTACGCCCAAACACATGAATTACGTCGTGAGATATTGTTCTAAATGTTACTTTCTTTCAAACCCAAGTCTCGAAGCAGAATATAAGAGCGATCATTTCCTTCGTCTGTCATCTCACTTCAAAGTCTTTCACCATGTTCATATCATGATTAAACACTTATTCCACTTACCCCTTTACTCTACGAAATTCCACCATGACTTCCATACAGGAGATGCCTAATGAGCTCATCCTAATGGTGGTAGGTGAAGTATCGCTACCCACCTTCGCCGCTCTACGACAAACATGCAGACGGTTCTATCAAGTCACCATTTGGACTTTTGGGAGGAGATACTTTCACACCCGCAATATCATGCTCCATGAGCAAAGTGTCCAGAATCTCGTTTCCATCGCGGACCACTCTGTCTTGGCTTCTTGTGTTCGAAAGGTTGGTTTTACACCCATGGTCGTTACAAGGGACTGGCTCGGGTTTGACGAAGAATGCAAAGCCCGTCAGTCCTATGAAAGTAAGCACGACATTGAATTCCAGGTATAGGAATAAAGAAGTGCTAACATCGCGTCAGAAAAGGAAATGACATTTCAGAACATGCAAGATATACCCCAACGGCTACCGTCAACATTCTTCATGTTGGCCTTAGAAAAGGCCTTTGAGAGACTCCCAAATTGCAACACAATTTCGGTCACCAATAACCAACGACCTTGGGGCAGAGGTAAACTTTCATTCTTCCAGAATCGGGATATCCGGAACTATTATGAGATCCACGAGTCTGAAGCTCAAGCTTTCATCCGATATTTGATTGGGTATCTCTTTAGCTTAAGCGTCAAATATGGCATAGAGAATGTCGAGATCTTTGCTGATAAAGTTTGCCACAAACCTTTGGTCCGGGGGCATTGCAATTGCAAATCTGTCGGGATATATGATGTCTGCATGGCACAGCCCGCTGCCGTGTCAAAGCTAAAGTCCTTGAAAATGACCGTAAACGCATGGCCTAGGGCTTGGCCAAACGACGCGTTTGCGCAGTTGCTTTCGTGCTTCCCCCAGCTATCAAGCTTAACACTGGACTTTGATGAGGGCACTGGTGAGAACCTCTACTTCTCGAAATTCAAAATACCAAGGCTCAAAGAGCTCACCCTCTCCTGCAAACTTTGCCATCCAAGCGAATTAGTAGACATTATAAAGCGGCACGAGGAGACCCTGGAACGTGTGGCTCTCTACGATGCCCAGTTGGAAAATCTGCCAGAATGGCTCTTGGTGATGGACGTTTTCTGTCAGATGTCGTGGATACATGTATACATTGGTTGGCACATGGAGACCCCATTTATATACAGGAAAGGGCTACTCAGTCAATTGTACAGGGAACTGTATGAGATCAGTGAGCTCAAGGATGACAATGACAAAAGAAAGGTGCGAGGCTTGCTCCATCAAATCAACGATTTGGTCAACCACGGTTAGAAACGGATAGTTCTTCTTCTATTCAGGTAGTTTGCGCCTCAATATATCTCAATAGCTCCAATCTTCTGACAACTCGTGATAACTTGATTGGCACTTTTGTTTCTCCGCTGATGAACTGGGCTCATGTCCGCACGAACGGAGAGTGCGTGGTCGACGTCTGTTTCTCTCAATATGCTTCAGGAGCCAGAATAAGAAGGTAATTATTGACCGGGAACTCAGATTGTACTAGTTCCCAGCGTTTCCAGGCAGCGGCATATTCCCCCCTCTCTCTGCGTTTCAGCATGTGACAATTCCCGAAGCAGGATTCACCCAGCAACTACAAACGCACCAAACAACGCCAGCATCATACGAACAGCCTCTTACATAATTGAGCAGCATACTTCACATGTAGGACCGACCAAGAGAATTCAGAGTTGCATTCCTCGGCGTGCGAAATCCGTGTATCGGCCGATCGCCCGCTTTGGGCCTTAATTGCGATCTTTTAAAGATCTACAGAGGTCATAGCGCCCCATGGGGAAAGCTGTGCCGTTCTCGACTGGCCGAGAAACGAGGGGAATCCTGGCATTGAGGTTACAACGGCATGCGAAATCGTGGGGAAGTGCAGTTTATCAGGGATCTCTTGGACAGGGAGTAGGGCTCACATGGCTTCTGATTCATTGAAGGAAATTGAGAATGCCGAGCTCAGGAGAACATCCGTGAATGAGACATGAAGACCATGTTTATATGTGATTCACTATAGAAGGATTCGTCTATAAATACTGAGCCTTTGTCCTCAAACCAGATAGCCAACCATCTCAACACAAACACTCTACAACTCAGTCTTCAGCAATCAATCAGAAGCCACTCGTCAACATGCAGTTCTCTACTTCTTTCCTCGTCGCTGCTCTCTTCGGCACTGCTTTTGCCATGCCCCAGGCCAACCCTACTGATTGTCCCGAGACCTCTGCTATCCCTACCTGCGGTGTTAGTCAATCCTGAAAAGCCGCAGTGTTTCAACTGCTAACGATGTTTCTAAGGCTCCTTGCATCACCTCTGCCGCCTCCGCCGTTGGCTGCAGCAACATTGCTTGCCAGTGCGCCAGCTCCAGCGCTATTCAGGCTTCGGCCATCAACTGTGTCCTTGATAACTGTGGTTTCCTCGAGGCTCTGCAGGTTCAGGCTTCTGCGGCCGCCGTCTGCACTGCCTGTGCTTAGATGCAGTCGCGAGGGTGGTCTTTTAAAGTTGTCTTGACAACTCGCAGCCGAACTAGTTTCCTTCCAAGAGCATAGTGGCCGATGAGTTAGAAGTAACAAATAAAAAGATTTATTTACACGTGCCCTGATTGATGATATACATGACAGGGATATGCTTTCAGCTTACCAAACATGATATGACCATTCAAGCGGAACCAGTGACAAGTCTCAGTAACTCAGTACTGGATGGGATCCTGACTGCTTATTCTTATAGACGTAGACTTAGTATGTCTTTAGAAGAGCATGGTAAATAGCACGGAACTTCTAAATACTCTATGATGATATCAGTTCTTAGCCATAAGCCCTAACTATAGATGATCTACATAACTTATTACTTAGGTTTATATTTCAAATCATTAATATCTAGAAGTTCAGAACACACACTATTTAGCAGCATCTGTTAGTATGATGAGCTCTAGTGCATCCGCCAAGACGATCTAAATCAGCAACACACAGTGTCTCGCATGTATGGACAAGACTGGTTACTGGGTGGGTTTTTGTTAACTGGTATCATATTTTGTGCTCTATAATAAGTACCGAAAAGCTGTAGTCAATTTAGGACTTAGCTAAGTTTAAGGTAAACTTGGGACATCTTTTGCTTAGATCAATGTAGGACTTAGAATCAAATCTCTGATATTTCCTTGCTCCCCAATGCCCTGACTGTCTGGATACAAGTCAACAGATGGAAACTACGACACTAGGGATTTAAATGGTTAATAATATAGTAAAAGGACGTCGTTCAACACGTGGATGACTTGACAGGACCGACCGACCCGAATATGGAGGCTGGCATGTAGCATCGAAGGTGGAGGCCTCAAAGGAATAAAGTTTGAGGAGCCCAACATAGACCATCTAGGCCAAATATACGAGATGACCATGTCAAGTTGCTATATTCTGGTCAAACCTTGTATAGTTGGCTCCAGATACGCCAAAATGGCGGCACAGTGAAGCTGAAAGTAGTTGGTGAAGCGGACTACCAAGCTCCGCAGTACCCGAATGGTTTGGCTATAATTTTTTGACTAGAATAAAAGAGCACAATATTCAGTCTAAGTCAAGCTTTGTTATAAATACTTTGCTATCAAAGAATCGAGGAGGTATAAATAAATTGGAGGACTTGAAAGCAGATTTCCTTGACCCAAGAGGTCCGGCCAAATATCAGGCATTGTATAGCGGGATACGGACTTGTTGGTTGAGGAGGAGTTCAGCCAACATAGGTTTCCGGTTAGAGCGGCAAGATAATTTACGGCTGATCATATCGTTGCAACTTACTGCATGTTTTGGAGAATAGGTAATGATAAGCACGGATACTCGGCATGTCCGACACCGCGCTTAGTTTCCAGATATTTAGGATATGTATAAATATGCTGGTAATTCCACATCCGAATAAAGGTCCTCACAGATCTTCCAATATGTCTCGACACCTTCTCCTCCTCATCGCTTTCGCTATCGTTCTTTGCAACGCATCGACAATCACCAACTACTGGGGCTCGCATAACTGTCAAGGCTCTTACCACCGTTGCTACAACCGCCGAGCAGGGCAGTGTTGTGAAAATAACGAGACCTTTCGTTCTGCCAAGTTTGGGGGCCTGCCTAAAGGCCCCAAGACTTGTGTCACAAACGACCAAGACCCTCACGACTACTGCGGGGTGTCACAGAAGGCAATCCTCACATTCAAAAGCACGACTTGTCTGACTGGTAACGGATACGCTTGGTCAGGCGGATCTATCTTCTTCGACTGCAACTACATTCGTGAACACATGTGCCTCTCTGACCGCGGCCTTGAGCATAGTGAAGCTATGCCTGATCGAGAAACAAAGTTGCCTGACATCAAATGTACTTCTTCACACAAGCCTGACGTTGTCGGAGCTCACGGATACGAATTCTTTGTATACGGCACTGATTTGGCGAAAAAGTATGGAAAGGTCGCATTGAATGATGAGGAAACGAAAGAAATCTTGGCGCTTGTTAATGGTTCCTCTGAAACGCCACTGGAGGATCTGTTGGTAAAGTTTGGGCACAGTGCTCTCAAGGAGGGGGAGATTCAAGACGAGTAGGAGACTGATTCAGTGCGAGTGAAAGGCCACACTGATGACACTGGATTTAACCTTCAATGGGCCTGTACTCTTGTATCAGCTAACTAGAAGTAACGTGGATCACGAGATACTTCAGCCATAATTCCATTGTGTATCAGTCACAGATCAAGGCACGTGGACAGTGATTAAAAAAGGACATGTTCGTATACAACCTGAGAAATCCCGCACAAACTTTATATAATGACTCCACTAAACTCCCGAAGTCCAACAACAATCAACAAGTTTTAATAAAACTCATCATCATCGCCGATATGTGCAGAAATGTCAGATACAGGTACCACTGTGAGAGATGCAGACATTTTCTTTCTGAGCAAATAGTGATTCAGTCTTGTGATAAGCGAAGAAGAAATGGAAGCTGTATATCCACAAGCGAGACAATCAACAGGGACATAGGCTATTGGCATTGCAACAGCTGCCTCACGAAGGAAAGGAGGAAGGCCAAGGACAAAGAGTGAGAAACCTGAGTCACAAACATGTATACAGAAGAGCACATGAGTGAAGGAGACAATCAGATGGATATATGATTCACGAATCATAAATACAAACTTATATAAAGCGGCGGTTTTCATCCCATATTTCTTTGCCAACTTCAAAACCCCAAATTCGGATAATATTTAAACGCCATACTAAAGAAGACTAAAACCGCTCCAATATTTGTTAGAAGAATGTGCTCTACAAAGTATACCAACTTCCGATGCGCAAAGTGCAATCATCTTCTTAGCTGGAGAACAGACCATGAATGCTATGAGCATCCAGGGCAGCCGAGAAGAGGATGCAGGATTGCCGTCGAGAGGATAGACAAACCTCGCTCGAATACAAAATGTCGAAAATGTAAGGAGAAGAAGAGAAAACAGGGAGAACGAGAAAATGTCACAAATACATGAGCAGGTGGGGAATGGGTTATGTCCTGGAGGTCTCCGATTCAGACCAAAATCAGAGTACATGGCTGATTTCTGAGAGATTCCCTAACTCCTTGGACATCTGCAAAAACTGGCCAATTCCTCATTATTGTCTTCCATTAGCTTAGTGTCATCAAAAGGAAAACTATCGACTCCAAAAATATCTGGGTTACAGTGATGGTCAGTTTCTTTTGCACTGAGTGCTACAGAATCCTTCAATATTCAAAGAAAAGAGAATGTTCTGCCGCTCCAGATCAGACAGAAAAAGGCAGCACAGAACCTGTCTGAACAGATGATTTTACATGGCTTGGTAAAACAGTGTCCACTCTGCCTGGAAAGAAAGAAGTAAAATGAACAGAGAGGAGAACATAGCAGAATCTCAACGCACTCGTGACGTTTGTTCCCTGAACAGCCGATATTTGAGCTGGTCTGATCGTTGAACACGACTGTAGCCCTGATATCCCAAAGCTAGGAACGGCATATAAAACCCACGTCATCTCTCATCTCTAAGCATCCATATCCTCATATCCAACCCTTCTCACTCTGTCAACATATCCCTTTCCATACACCAAGATGTGCAGAGTTACTTTCACAAAGTACTATTGCGCTATGTGCAAGGATCTTTTGTCTTTCGATCACACTTTGTCATGCCAAGGAATTGTTCATGAGAGTAGTGATCAAGCGAGAGATTGTCAGTTGGAGATTCGGGACTTGGAAGGATATATGCCAGCATCGGAATGTCCTCAGTGCGAGGTGAAGAGAATGATTGAAGAGGACGAGGCAGGCTTGGCAACGCATTGCAAACGAATCTGATGCTGGCCTACACTGCTCTATTAGTCTAGTCACACGATAATAACAGATATACGGACTGAACGAAGAACATTCTTACGATCCCATAGATTCAAGTATGTTTAGATTATTCCTTTCATCTGTGAATGTTATCGAAGTTGGGTATTGCCCAATGTCTCATCCAATCTGTTTTCAAAAGCTCCTCTGCGGTTGGTCGATCGTCAAGGCTGTAAGATAGCATCCATCGTATCATTTCTTTAAACGCTTGACTTTCATTTTCACCAAGAATCTCCATGCCACACTTGCGTCTTGGGTTCTGAATACTTGATTCGAACCGTCCCTCCAACCTCTTTGGGCATCCGCCTTTCTTGCGGCTTCCATCTTTCATGAACCATTGGGATCTGGCTTCCCATTTGTTCCACCATTCGTCAGGCAGAATCCCAAGAGTATCAACCTGTTCTTGAGTAACGTCATCCTCACTCAACAAGAAGCTACTAAGAATGGTCTTCAGTCCAAATACTGTCCAGATGGCATGCGCAAGGCTCCAGATATCAGCAGAGAAAGACAGTGGAGTTGCTGGCTCGAATCGTGCCTCGGGCGGGGATATGTTGAGAGGCGTAGAAGACCCAAATCTTGGTCTTCGGTAGGGATAAAATGCTGTGCCGAAGTCGGCGAGTAGGATCTTTGACTCAGAGAGCGTAAGCTTGTTGCCTCCCTCCGCCATCCAAATTGGCCAGTAGACATGGTCAGGGACGCCTGGTGGAAGAGGTTGCCCGTCTTCTCGGACGACGAGCTCGGGTCTCGGTGGAGAGAACTTCTCGTATATCTGCTTATCTGAAAGGTGGCCGAGAGTAGATGGCAAACGGAGGAAAAAGTTCCACAGGTGAAGGTCTGATGGCGAAGTCAGTATATCGCGATTGTCGCGTTGAAAAAGAGGTATCTCTCACCGCCATGGACCAAGCCTCGGCTGTGAATGTATGCTACGGCCTTAACTATCTGAACAGCAATGTATCTTGCAACTGGAAGCTGAAACATGTAGGAGTCAGCAGCGTCTTGCGCGTCCCTGAGACTGCATCGCGCAAGTGCGGTGACGAAGCATGGATGGGTTCCAATGGGGCCCGTGATGCAGAAATGGTCCAGGATCGGAAGAATGCATTCCTCCCCATAATGCTCTAATCCATGAGACTGACGGGAAATATACCTTATGATATCCACTTCCCGCTAGTCTGGATTTGCTATTCCAACTTTGACAGCGACATATTTCGATGCGATTTCATCGTGGGCAAGCCAGATAGATGGTCGAGAATCCGCCGTATCCGAGTTTATGTACAACGCAATATCGATTGGCGAGATGGTCACCGATATCAATCGGATGATAGCCACCTGGGCTATAGCCATACGGGTTTTCAACGTCCTCTATTGGAAGATACAAGACTTAAGAGGATGACGTTGCTGTTGTTTGAGTGTAGCGTAGACTTGTGTCTGAAGAAAAGGTCAAAAGATGTCGCGAGGGCAAAGAAGAGAGTGTAACTCTCGTTCTCAAGTGCCGAACTGCTAGGCTGCGCATTTTTGGCAAAGCTGATGATGATAGGATGGGGGACTTGCGATACCCAGGGGCTCTGTTACGCATTTATTTTGATGAGAATATGGAGTTACAGGTTACATACAGTAAGAAACCTCAGGCGGCCAAAAGTGGATCCCCGAGTCGTTTTCCGTCTGCTCTTGGTCACTCACTGGCTTGTGGACTGGATGAGATTGATTACAGGTATCTGACCTTAGGATCTGATTCAGAAGCCGACTCTGAATCACAGCGCCAAATGTGACCCAAAGGGAAGGCGATTAAAGACCTACCAGGTTAACTTTGAGCCACGATAGACTTACTCAAGGAATTATACTATTATCACTCGTTATCTGCCATCCCAAAAGAAGGCTTAGACCCATCGATCGGCCCAAGGCGGGGTTGATTTTATAGCGCCTTTCCAGTGGATGGCTCACTGTAAGGCTTGACTAAACAATGGCGCGACTCAAGGCCAAACATAAGCTTCAGCAAACTCAACTGTGAATCCCTGGCATTCACTTCCCTTCATCAATCGTGGCGATGCGACAATCTCTACGGCGAAAGTCTTGCAGTGCTTGCGCGCGCTCCAAGCGTCGCTGCAGCCTTAGTGCTCCCAGGTGCAGACGCTGCGCAGTAAAAGGCATAGAATGCTCATATCCCACCGTCACGCCTGTGCCGCCTCCGCTCCCAAGTGCCTCTGGCAGCCCGCTCGTCAGTGTCAGTGATTTGATAGACGATGCTTTGCTATCTCTTCAGGTGCCCTCTTTCTCCCCCACGACTGAAGCATATGGCATGCAGCTCGACTCCGCGGAATATCATGCCCACACAGCAAATGATTATACGGCGCGCGCAGAATTCTTGGCTCATTTGATGTCAGTGCAGACCACGGCACTGGCTGACAAGGGATTCAATGTATTCATCCACTCGTCACAGACTCTGGCGTCAGATGCGTTGCGCGACGCGTTAGCTGGAAGTGCCCTGCACGCCATGCGAAATCCTTCTAACGCGCGCTTCGTCGATTCTGAGATTACAAGGCGCGCCTCCAGCATTGTCGCAGTCTTATGTGCAGCGTCAATAAGCGACGATACGGGCAACTTGCAAATGCTACCAAGGGTCCAAGCACTTCTTATCTACCAATGTATGCGACTCTTCGCGCCAGCAAGTATCAGCCAACAGACACAGGCGGAACGCGACAACTTTGTTCTTCAAATCTGGGCATCGCGATTGAAACTATCATTGACTTGTGATGATGACCTTACCGAGGCGCGCTGGGAGCCCTGGGTTGAGCAAGAAGCCATCCGCCGCACGCTGATATGTATAGAGCTTGCGCAAGGCGCCTACACCTACCTCCGAGGGAATTGGCCCATCGGTGTCCGGTGCCATCACGACCTAAGATTTAATGCCCAGAAGGCTCTTTGGGAAGCCAAGTCGGCTGCAGAATGGCGTTTGGTCTGCGACGATTTCACGCATCCCTCGCTGCCATGCAATATGATTCGCTTACACAAAGACATTCGCGAGGCAAGGCCTGGTGACTTGGATGATCTAGGAGTCGTATTGCGCGCTGTGGGCGAAGGGCTTGCCGATATTAATACCTGGCTTCGTCACGATAAAGAAGCCTTGCAGCGATGGGGCCAAGTAGGCGCATAAATCACCAGCATCCAATAACAATAGTACATACAAGTCCTCGCTCTTGGGTGATCTGCCACTACAAACCATGGACACCAATGCGAAGAAATTGGCCCTCTCTGTCAAGCCTATCCCTGATCGATCCATTCTTCAACTCCTCGACATCCCAAGCTGACCACACAAATCGACCATGCAAGAAGGAAGCTTCATCCGACGCGCACCATACAGCAAACGCGCCTGGAAGACTCACTACAAACCGTTAGGAATGCTTGTATTGCAAAGGCGCATCGCAAAGCTTACCGTCGTCCCAATTCACTATCGTTTCTGCCATCCCTTTCTCTCGAACTTGGTCTGTCAGAATGGCGCCTGGATGGAAGCTGGTGATCTGGGTTTGAGAGGGATCCTTCTCGTCTGCAAGCTTCTGGATGAACAAGGTCCCAGATTCCTTGGTCAGGGAATAAGAAGACAAGTTTGTGGGGCCTCGGGAGTCATGGATGGCACCCGTTGAGACGTTGACTATATAGTGCTATGGGCCGGGCTGTCAGTGATTTGTCAAGTGAGGGGGGGAGGCGAGAAATAGAGGAGAGAGAGAGAGAGACATCTGGCTTCGTACCTTTCTTTTTTCCTGTTCTTGCGCGTCTAGGCGATCGCATAGTTGATGTAGCGCGCGGGTATTGACCATGAACTGCTCCCACGTCTTCTCCCAGCCTTGATGCGACAATGTCCCTTCAACATTGAGAGCAGCATTGAGCACCAGGACATCCACATGAACACCATTTACGCCCAAACTGTCAAACATCTGATCAATACTGCTGGAATCAGACATTTGACAGACTACCCCTTCGAATTTGGTATCGCAATCGCTGTGATTATGAGCGAGTCTTGCTATCGCCTCGTCAAGCTTTGGGCGAGTTCTACCAGTGAGTATGATCTTATCTGCACCAGCCAAAGCAAAGTTCTCGGCAATGGCGTAGCCGATACCAGCAGATCCGCCAGTGATGAGAACTGTCCTCCCAGCTTGGGAAAGCGAAGGCTGTGAAGGATCTATAGCATCATACACAGTTGAATGCAGTTTGTTGGTTAGTGGTACGGGCGTGTATACGAAAGCAGTGGATTCGGCGTTGTTTGACATGATGGAGGAAGCTTTTGGAGATGTTTGCAGCAGACGAGGAGGAATGCCAGGTGAATCCAAGACCCAGCGACGACCATTTTATAATTGAGTGTTTACTCGCAGGTATTTTGATGGGCGGGAATCCGTGCATATCTTGCGGACTATTCTGGATCTCGACTGCGGAAGTCCGTAACAGAGAGTGGTCAATTGTGGATCTGACGACGAGAGCCACATTTGACCGCCGTTACAAGGATGAAAGGGCGTTACCTAGAAACGCCTTCTGGTGCCACTCAGGTACGACAGGTGACGTTAGAGTTTGGGAGTCTGTCGTCTGTCGGTGTAAATTGATAGAAGCTTTACAGTGCTCAATCAATAACGTGTCCAGCGATTGTTCATTTAACACAAAACCTCTCGTCATCCACTCTCCTCTTGATACCATATACTGGCTCTTCCAACCTTCTCTCTAGCACCCATCACAACAAGTGCAAGACTAACATCATGGAAAGCTTGTTCTACTCGCCATTTATTACACAAGATGCGTTTTCAGTAGATCTTCCTATGAGAAAGGATGAGAAGAGTACTCTCGCGCCTTACGAAGCCCGTTATGGAGTCGATGCTGTCTTCCGCGGTGATGTTGAACTACAGCGGCACGAGATTCTTCATTACATCCGCGGCCGCCTCGAAGCCAAATACATTCATCGGATATGGTATACCCAATTTAATGGAATGCATACCAAGCGCGATTTAGAAACCATCCAAGGACATTCAGCTTTGAGCTTCTGCAACAAGACTTTTCCCATCTTTTTGTTCTCGGATCGCATCAGCTCCAGCAACAGAATTCTAGGGCCCCTAATCCACATCGCCGTGCTCAACTACATTCATCGAATCTATTTCAAGCCTTATCGTACTGATATTGAGTATGATCAGTTCTTGGCCAAATTGCTTCGGTTGGACTCTATTGCACTACTTGATGATTCTTCGGCAGCCCGCATGGGATTGGTACTGAACCGAGCAATCTGCACAAGGGCCGATCGCGCCTTGCTTGATGCTGACGTCCCGGGACGCAAGCTTTATTCTATCCGCCCATTGTTTCGAGCTTTGTCTGTCGTCATACGGCAGAGTGACTACCCGAGCTGTGGAGTCATCTCGGATATTTCTCAGCTACGAGTTTTTCTTGTTCTCACTGGGAGCACGGATGGGTTGCACTTAGACATCCACTCCGAAATCGACTTGCTCAAGGATGTCTCTGAGCCTATTAGGCTTGGACCAGCGCAAGGAGTTCGAACAACCCTCGGTACGGTAACGGCATTGATTATGAGGCTACAAGAGCGAGAAGACGGCATTTCGGGCCCCAAGCCGGACCCGCTTGAATTATCAGACGACCCCAAGATGCATAAGCATCTATACGTGCTGGAGCGGTTCCAAGCAGAGAAGATGGGATGGGGAAAGCGTCCCTTGAAGGGACCAAGCTCTCAATGGGTGGACACGGATAAATATCCTATATGGACTGGCGAGGGTGCTCGTACGGATGTGTTAAGAGCTTGCCTGGATGCGACAAGCACTGAACATGCCATGGTCTGCAAATGCCCGTGCCTTTGAATTCCCTCTTGACTCAGAATCTTTGAGATTGTTATTTTTGAGAGGCTTTTGATTGGGCCCTATCTACCGGAGCATTGCCATGCCCTTCTTCAATCCTTTCAGCTTGTTTGTCACTCGGCCTCAAGCATTCTTCATGTGCGA